ATAGCTCATTAAACAAGTTACTCGTAACATTATTGGTGGAGGTGCGGGGTACGATAAGAAGGCTCAGCAGAGTATACGGTAGGAACAGGATGTAGGCCGACATTCGATAGCTCTTGACGAACGACCGCTTGTATTAAAGAGATCGTGGTCGGGGAAGGCGCAGGCGTCGGAAATGTCGTGGCTACCGGTTGTGCTGCCTCGACCTCTCGACGGATGATGCGTGTAAGGTTGTCACATTGAGGGGCCTGGTGGAAGGCGTCGTCACACGAAGAAGTGGCCGCTGTGTTCGGAAGGCGCACGATGCTTTGGGCTACGCGGCGGGCTTTAGCTTGTTCGAGACGACGGCATTCTTTAAGGATTGTGTCGATGCTCGAGACGTTGTTAAAAACCAGCAGGTTGAAAGCATCGTCAGCAATGCCTTTCAAGACGTGGTTAACCTTTTCGTCTTCCGACATGGACTGGTCGGCCTTGGAACAAAGGGCCAAGACGTCAAGAATGTAAGAGACGTACGATTCGGTAGAAGACTGGGCCAGTGTGGCAAGAGTCTTCTTCGCAGCGAGCTGACGACCAGATGAATCGCCAAACAGGTCACGTATCTTTTCTTTGAAGAGATCCCAGCTCGTTATGTCTGCTTCGTGGCTTTCAAACCATGTTCGGGGAGTGCCGTCCATGTAGAAAAGCACGTTGGCGAGCATGAGCGTAGGATCCCATCGGTGAGTAGCACTGACGCGCTCGTACCGCTTCAGCCAAGTGTCGAGATCGATCGTACCATCACCGGAGAAAGTGCCGGGATCCCGGAGGTGCGGTATTGTGACGTAGGTGGTGGCTTGAACAGATGAGGGCGGCGTAGAGGAAGTACCGGCAGTCGAAGCAGTCGAAAGGTCGCCGATGGTGCGACCACTGCGCGTCTCCATCGAGGTACGGGGGTCGTCCACCTCCACCAATAATGTTACGAGTAACTTGTTTAATGAGCTATTCACAGCGCAGAGAACCCGACGAGCAAGATGGCGTCAGAACAGCATCCAACCGAAAAACCCACTTCGTCCTCCTCTTTCTTGCAGCCGTGTTCAGCCGCTGTTTTGTATCAATATTGAGGCCTCCGCGAGGCCGAATCACGATCTTCGTATCCTCCCTGGGGAGCTGGGGCATCCGGCCAGCGCGGATGATTCTAGCCTTGATGTTATTGCCACTGTTGCAGCCTCGCGGGGCCTCGGCCGTTGTCGACTTCGTCTCGTTGAGAGTAGCACCATTAGGATTAGCGCCTGCCGAGCGCGCGCCAGCTCTTCTGGCGCCTGCAGACTGCCAACCTCGGTCTTCTGTCACCTCTTCGGGGGTTATGTCCTCCCCCACCACCTGATATTCCATTTTTTTCTGAAAATAAGCCCTGAGAAGAGCGAAAAGGGCACCCGGGAACGGCGACGCGGCTGGCGTCGCGCCGGCGTGGGCTTACCTCGTTAGGCTTAGCCCAGGCGGTGGCCGGCTCCGGAGAAAAAACGTTCCAAAACGTGAAAATAGTTCACTCACGCAGCAGGTTTTGGCATCAAAATAGTCCTGGCACTTTCACTGATGCGACACAAACAAAGCTGAACGCGCACTCGAAAAATTCACTTGAATATCATTGTAGGAAGCAGAAGCCACTCGAAGGTCGTATGAACAACACAGACGCCGCGCCGCGTCCCCACGAAAGCCTAATCACAAAAAGAAATTCATCGGAGATTAAAAATGAGCTACAGCGCATTCAGCAGACACTCCGAGATAATGTGAGGAAATCTACCACTCTCATCAAAGCGACAAAATGTATACAGCCATCGCAGTCATGCTACCGAAGTCTTCCGATTTGCAGCGATTTTTGAAGCAGCAGAATTTTCCTATTTGGAGCACTTTGGGGCAGGTAGTTTTATATCTGGGAGCACTCCAGAGCAGCTCACTCCACATGATCACAGAGTACTCTGGTGAAGCAAGTTGGATTTATGCTCAAGGACATGAATAATTATTTTGCGGGTTTTGTGAAGAGCTAGAAATATTTTGATTCATTGCCAATCTCATGGAGCCAATCATCTTAGGAGCACTCCCCATTTCACTCGATGATGCAAAGATAATGGCATCATGCTGCTGAGCATAGGCATGCACTGCACTGAACAAAATTGTAATTTATGAAATAACATTTAAAGTATGCACCTATGTGGTTATCAGCAGACATGGTAGACAAACGGTGTGATGTACAGCGCTAGAATCTCGCACTGTCTCAAATGTATTACCCTAAGACGACTGCAAGGAGGAATAGAGGTTCTTTTTCTACATTATCGATTGTATTGTTTGTCGTAACATAATGTCACTTTATAGTGCTATTAAGAGAGTGTAAATGACAATATACAAGAGACAGATTACACAAACGAGCGCTCTTTCTCATCCGTCTCTTGCGTTTGCTCCCTTTTATACCACTATAGATCAGTACAATCTCGCCAAGATTTTCATGGTTCTAAACATGAGCGCCATAGAGCCAACCTCCTCCAACACTTCCAACTCCTGAGACGCATCTCGGTGCTAGGACTGTATAATTTAACATACTTCATTTTTCTTTTGCAGCGAAGTTTTAAATGGCTGTTACTTTCTGCCTGTACACCAAGAACTCCCTTGTGGCCTCTAGAAGGCATAGAAAAAAAAAAAAGCCTCACAGGGTATCGTATGCGTACAATAAAGACGATTCAAGGTGAAACCTATATTGTTTTTATTGCAATAGCAAATATATGGACATTCGCGGCTGTTTTGTGCCGTTTCTGACATGTTTTGTGTAATGTGCAAATCGATAGCACGCCCACACCTTGCACATTGTACGTTTCACATGCAGGCAAACGTGCGCAAGCGGGGGCGACGAACGCATATTGAGTGTGATGCACCGCTAATCTGACCTCAACCGAGAGGTGTAGTGTTGAAAAAAAACTAAGGAACAACACCAGTACTATTGTTTCCAAGCCCGTCTCGCTATCATGCCGTTTTCATCTCAGCAACATACCAATGGGCCCTTCTTTGTGACACAGCCAGCCGATGTTCTCATCCGAGGCGGACTTGATCACGATAAAATTGCTGTGAGCTATTCTTACGACACGACTTTTTGCGTCTAACATGTCAACCTCAGCTGCTTGTTTTCGATTGGCTAGCTGGGTCTGTTGTATGATACATAATGCGACTTTTCTATTTCACTTTCAGGTTAAGCACTGAACCCCGAACTCGCAGACGACATTAGGCATGTGTGAAATGCGTCATTTCGTAGCATCAAACCAGTTGCGGATTCTTTATGGACAGGGATTCAGCCCTGACATTTCCTCCTTTTGGTAAAGTGTTTTGACGAGTGTGTTAAAAGCGACAAAGAACACTCGATCTGCAGCAGAAAGCACAGGAACCGCCAAAGCGCACTGAACCGTAGAGAGTTGCAGCGCCACCGTGCAGTGACTGTGGGAAGGCACAGGGACCACGTGAGTGTGTAACATGAGAACACTCGCCATTATGGCTACTCGCAGTGCTAACACTCATATGTTCAGATGCACATATATACTGCATAAACTGGACAGAAAGATAACCACCGCCACGGCTCAGTGGTAGAGCACTGGACGCATTATTCAAAGGTCGTGGGTTTCGTCCCAGTCAATGGCAAGTGATCTTTTCATTCACTTTACATTCTCCACACTAACATCATAACTATACTACAAATAACATCCCCTATACTTCTCTAGGGTTGCCCCACCGCGGTGGTCTAGTAGCTAAGGTACTCAGCTGCGGACTCGCAGGTCGCGGGATCGAATCCCTGCTGCGGCGGCTGAGTCATCGATGGAGGCGAAAATGCTGTAGGTCCGTGTGCTCAGATTTGCGTGCAGGTTAAAGAACCCCAGGTGGTCGAAATTTCCAAAACCCTCCACTACGGCGTCTCTCATAATCATATAGTCGTGTTGGGACGTTAAACCCTACATATCAAATCATCATTTACTTCTCTAAGCTTCCATGTCAATTAGATTAAATCAAAATCATTGGAGGTCGTTTGGGGCCCGCTTAAGAAGGCAGACTGGTCTTAGACATTTCTTTGTTTACTTCTTCAGTAATCTTGATCAAACTGCACAGGATTATGCAGTCTTTTCTTGTGATTTCAAATGTTCAATTAGTTTTCCTGTAACTCATCTTACTTCTGAGATAACTTGAGTTCACATGATATTGTTTAAGGCCACCATAGAGAAACAGTGCTTAATTAAAAGTGATATTTAAGACAAGCCAATATAGACTTATGACTACAGATTGAAAGTATGCAAGAGCTTTTTGTTTTTAGGCCTTTCTTGGTTATTTTACAGCAAAATGAACTATCCGCCTTCAAGAGCAGTTGGGATTGTGTTATATTTTTGATGAGTAATTAATTAAAAAGGCTTGTGCTCTATATTTTGCTTCCATACTTGCATTCTACACACATACAGGTTTCCATTGCAAATAGAATTATTGTTGTACCTGCCCTAGCTGCAGAGATATTGAGGTCTCAAAATTGAACAGTCGTAAATTTACTTTTTTGAGAAAAATGGAAAAAACTGAAAAAACACAGCTTCTTCAAAAAGCAACAATCATGGTGCGCATGTTTTGCAGTCCTCATGAAGGTGCTCATAAATTCGTAGCAGAGCTTCTAACACAGGTGCCGGCAAATCATAAAGAAGCCTCGAAGTCGGTTCCCCATTTTTTTGCAGGTTCTGTATATTAACAGCACCAACGATCTCGACAGTTAGAATGACATTACGAAAAAACTACTACTTCCTAGTGTGCGAAAATTTGCAGAGAGATAGAAAAATACTTGCAGAAACCAAATATGTCAATTTTAAAAAATAAATTTTTTTGTCCTTTGTTGGTCCCAAAGACCAGTCTGCCCCCTTAAGAGATGAGAACACGAAAGCATTCCGGCTGACTTGATTGCTGTTACAGAGGGATACTGTACACTGTGCATACACAATGCCACACTGCATTTCACTTACAGGAGGTGATGTGGTCGGCGGATCGCACAAAACCTTGCTGCTGTTGTTGCCGTTTGCCATGGTAGTGTGGACTCTGCAGTGCTTGACCCTAATGTGGCTCATTAGGTTTTTATATCCGCAATACGTTTTCCGGCACACTGGACACTTTTCCCGCTTTGTGGCCACATGCATTACCACGTGTTTCTCCAGGCTGCGCTGCGCTGAAAACCTGGCCGGACACAGGTGGCACCGGTGGGGCATCTCTGTCACGTGCAGCTTCAGGTGCCTCTCGAGCGCCGCCATCTGCTCGAAGGTCATGCCGCACTCCCCACAGACGCACATGTCCGCCCCGCTCGCGTGCATCTGTTCGTGCCTGTCCAAGGCCTCCCTTGTGCAGAATTTGGACTCACACATCCGGCACGTGTACATTTCTGCACTCATGTGCATGATCTGATGCTCAACCAATTCGCACTCCTCGACAAACTTTTGGTCGCACACGAGGCATGTGTGCGCCTTCACGCACCCGTGGGTTTGCTCGTGCTGTCGCATTCTGTTCAAGTAGTGAAACCCACGGCCGCAGACAAAACAGAAGTACGACTTCTTCCCCTCGTGCCTGAGCCGATGTCGTCGCGCTTTATCTTCATTTAAAAAATAACACCAACACACTTCGCACACAGAGTGGGTGCTTTCGTTGCTGCCAGATTCCTTCTGTGAAGATCCCGTGGGACCTACAGAGACCCTGGGCATAAAGGAAAAGAGAGAAAATCACAAACTTACTATACTGTTTATTGCCATCACGCTGATAGAAACTCTGAATTTTAGAAAAAAATGGAAGAGAGGAAAAATTTGTGAATATGGGTGCCACTGAGCCAACCTTTGGACCAGTGGTCCTGACAAGTGGTATAGCAGCCTTGAAAAAGACAAGCCCGCTTGTCACAATACTGGCTCAAGTGGCACTCCTAAATTAAACTTTTTGCATCTCTGATAAGAATTAAGATATTACAAATATGGCACAGTGCTTTGGCACAGTACCACAGCAAATGATTAAAGACGCGCCGAAAACATGACAGAGCATTGACACTTTAACAGTCTTGGGGTCACGCGACTCGAACAGAAACATCACGTGTGATGCCATTGGCGCAGCAGCACGTCGCTGTCGACCACAGCTCTAGCAGCAGTGACGCTGTCAAAATGCAGAAAGAACTGAATTTAACCAAGTGACGAGTGCGCTGAGTTTATTAAATCGGAAAAGTTGTAGAATTGAGAAAGGGATCTTTCTGTCTTTTATGATCCGATATTGCAACACGATGATACTACAAGCTATTGCCACACCGTGTTTCCTAATATTCCACACCTGCACGTGTAAAAAGTCAATGGGGGCTGACCCGACATGGACCCTGCTTTGTCGAGGCGATGCAAGCCAGAGGGCCGGCTACGTGCAGCTATGACAGCCGGCCGATACGCAGACTTGTGGGGCACAAATGCAGTGATTTTGGAAGTAGGCCGAGCGAGAAAGTTGAAAGGAGACTGTCAGTGCCATCTGTTGCAGAAACCATAATATCTCCTTCGGCAGCGGTGTGTACTATCAGCGGCAAGCCTTTGCGACAGTGTAGTGCACGCCGTCCAGTTATCACCGTTGATAGGCACGCGAATACTGTTTGGCAGCTCTGCACATATAGGCATGCCTGTCTGCGGTAATAGCTGGACGGCACGCACTATATCATCACAAAGGCTTGCCGCTGTTCGTGTTCCATTTCACGCTGATAGTACAATCGCACACACCACAGTTGGAGAAATGTCACGCACGGCATGTCTCTTGAAATGGCTTGAAACTCGGTGTGCACATTCATGCAGGCTTCTTGGGTGGACAAACAGTGGTCACTGAACTTCATTGTGCTGCGTATTGCTGCAGATGGTCACTTTGCTGGAGACACTACAGTGTTCGACGATCAGTCAATGTGGTGTGTTTAAAAACCAAACTCAGCATACATTTTGGGCCTAATGTCTGATTTTTCATGCAAGGATTGAAGATGAATAATTACAAAGCAATCATATATTTAATTACATGCTTATTAACATTAATTACTCAAACTCACAAAAAACAACACATTCCTTCATTTTCTTTCCTGAAACATAATATTGAGTGCCTTGCAACCATGCCATCCAAATTTGACGCATTTCCAGAGAGTGCATCATAATTTATGCCCAGAGAGAATATAAATGAAAGCTGCTATTAGCCCCGAGAAGTTGGAGTGGCGCCACCTGGCAGATGACGTCAAGGCACGGACTCTTCGATGCGAGCCGCGGTGCACCTACATAATGATGCGCTCGCTTCGTGCGCTGTTCCAATGTTTGTGTTAGCTTTTTGCTCGTCTCAAGCTACAGATGAATGAAGAAAACAGATTTCATGTTGCAGGTAAAACAATAAAAAGTTTACTTTTGCTGCTGTATAATCACACGCTGGGTGGTATAGCAATGTGAGATGAGTGAAAAGGTCTGTGTCGTGTTGCTAATCCCGATGATGGATTCTATTTGTGGCGCCGCATTCCAACGGGTGTGAAAATCAATAACACGCTTCTGTTTGGATACAACAAACTTATTGACGCATATTCGTGTGATTTTGAGAAGGAATTAAAACACAATATTTACATTACAAGGTTGAGATGTGCATAGATGATTCTTTTCTGGGATATCGAGGGCTTCTCCCCTAAAATAATTGGTACCGGAGGAATCCACGTATCTATGGGCAGCGCTTTCACAAGTGTATTAAGCCCCGCACTCGCCTGCAGCATTGAGTATTTCAACATATACCGGAAGGCGCTCGCTCTAGAATAGCACCGCTGCTGTTGTGTGTTTTTCTCATGTACTTGCTCACTCAACACGTTCAGTTTTATATTTTTCTCACAATATTATGAAGCTTTAGTTGACCCAAATTATTGAAGTTAAAAGCGGTTTAGGTTATATGCGGGTATTCTTATTGCGGTCACATTCTTTCTTCGTGCAGAATTTTAGCAACAGTGTGGTCCCGCTCTGAACTACCAGTTTAGATAGCCTCCTCATATGTTAAATTTCCTTGCAGTTGATTACCTGTTGGTGGACATGACGTGGGAGACCACTTGTCACCTCATCGATGCGGAGGTTGTTTAGTTATTAAATGGATACAGAAGCCTATAGGATGAAATTTTTTTCGGGGTTGGGAAGGGCATTTACTTGAAATGGTCATTTTTCTCTCTGCATGGGGAGAAAATTTTCGGGGGTAGGAGACAGGCCCCATGAACCACCCACCCCCTGGTTACGCCACTGCTTGGGCCATGTCCGTAAGCGCGCCATAGAAGGAGTTCATTTCGACTATCTGACGTTTGTGTTGAAATCATTGCTATCAGCAGTGCTTCCACGCAAAACTCCAGCATCTCACGGAAATCAGGGTATAAGACTACATAATCCCTGGCGACTGTTGAGAACAAAGTTGTACATATACGCTACCTGCGAACAGAAATGTCTTATTATTTCTGAAATCGCTGTGCATGTGGCAGTATTATTTTGATCGATTTTGTTTGTTTGTCGAATATGTTACCTGAGTGCTTATGACAGCCATATTCATTTAATGTCTCCTGCTGGAAAAAGAGCAGTTCTATCAAATCATTTAGATCATTCGCAGATGCGAGCGTAACTTGCAAGGTAAAGTGCAATTTAAAGTGAATTGAAAACCTCCCAATTTCATTTCTCATACTTCGGCACAGATATGTTCTAATCCCGGAGTCTATGCCTAGTTTTAATAACGTTAGTACCACTTAGCATATTTTCTTAGTACTCATTCTGTGTAGCATATTTTCTTAGTACTCATTCTGCGTAGCATATTTTCTTAATATTCATTCTGTGGTGTACGCGATAAAAACAACAAACGTCTTCTCCTGCATCACTATGCTTACAATAAATCTTCAGTTTGGATGGGAGTCTGCCTATCCTAGGCTAAATTATGGAAACTTCTTACAGCTTTAAAAACTTCCACTAGTTGTGAAACCTTTCACCTTGTATGTTGAGAAATTTGTTCACAAAATTGAGGAATAATCACCAACGTATCGTTGAAGAGCGTGTGCACGGCGGGCACAGAAAAAGGCGACAAGCACCGGCGGAGCTGGCGAGTTCTTGTCGTGACGTCACATCGCCGCAACCGCAGCGACACCAGTGTTCGTTCTCAAGGCTAATTGTGTTCCCGTGAGAGCATTTATAGGAACAATAAACCACTGGTGAACCTTGTACCATGTCGTACAAGGAGCGCTACAAACTGTTAATTTCATGGTTCCCTGCATGAGCGTAACATGCAGCCCCATCAAAATAAAGCTAACGTCGTGACTAGGGTGGCCCAATGTTTTAACGCAATATCGGCAAAGCATGCACATACTCAAAAAAACTTTGTTCTCTCAAAACTATAAAGAAATAACTACCATGATCACTAGTTTATTTCTAGAAACACTTACATTAAATTGAGTTTAGTACTTTGTTAGTTTCATTAGCTTGGGTCGATCACAACAACAGCTATGGTTACCTGCTGGGGAATCGAGGTATGCTTGTTAGATCAGGAATTTTATAAAACTGGGTTTTGTTCAATGCAAGCTTAAGTTGTAACAAGAACGGTGCAGCTGCAGGGTGTAGGTTGTACTGCACCTTTCCCGGCGACACGGACGAACCATTGGCAACAGCGGCACCTATGTAATGCCAGGCAAAGCCTTTCTCATTTATACAAATTGTAAAGTGGTGACACGACAACACGGGCGATATTCTTGCTTAGGTCGCGCGACACTGATTATCAAGCTGCAAGTAGACTACCACAGAAAATGAGTTAAGCCGGACTTTGTCTACTTCAGTGGGTTAGTCATCCACCCCAGTTTTGAAAGCACTTACAGTACAGCATGATCAACTAGAGTAAATATGTAGAGAAAAGACACACGATGCATGTTGCATGCATGAACACCACCATCAATAGGAAAAGCATTAAAAGTAAGCAATGATGTTACAGCACAAGGCAAGCAGGAAATGAGAAAGCCTTCAGCACTGCTTGCAGTAATTTTTGTGTGTGGTTAGCCCTGTGTTGTAGCAGCAGATGCTGTGACCGCCACTTCTGAGTTATCTAAAGGCAGCTTTAGGGGACCTCCTTGGTGACACCAAAATATTGAAAGATGCTGAAAGTGCTTACTTCCAAGCATAACAATTTCTTTTACAATAACGTTGATGGTACAGTAGACTCTTAGTAAAGGGAAATTAACTGCTGCTTCAATGGGACAACTGCCTCTGGTATGACTGGTCTCATACTTGTATTCTGCACTCATATTCGTCTCACAGCAAACGGAACTCCCGTTAAATGGTACATAATTTTATAGTTCCTTCAGCTTCTGTCCAATGAATCTACTAAATTTGGAAGTGCGAAACACAAATTATACACTAGGAGAACTGAAGAAGACGAGTGCTCGTGTGCGCTTGTGTGATTGCTCATATAGTTCTTGTGTACTTTGTGTGTTTTGCGTTTCCAAGTACCACTATCATAAATAAGTACAAACTCGCCCAGCTACTTCTCTTCCTGAACAATGACCCCTTTTTGCATATGTACCACTTTCAGAGAGCACAATCAGGATAACTATATTGGCAAACTGTCTATCTAATGGACATGTCCATTTCAGTGCAGCGTATTCAGTTAATTAAAAAAGCAGCAAGTCACGACGTTCTAGCATATATAACCACGTCGCCGCACCGCACCCTAATAGCACCCTGTGTTAAAAGAAAGAAAGTGGAGGAATTGTGAAGTCACCGAAAACTCAAATAGACTTTTGTATGTCTGTCCTTGCATTTGAGCATCTCCCAAATTCTTGAGGGACTGCAGAGGATGCGTATGTATCTACCTTCACAGATGCACTAAACAGGCAGCCACATTCAATCTGATTTAAGGGCTAATATGATAACAGAATCGGAATTTGTGCAGAGCAAAAAGCGGATCTCTGGAAGCCTGTGTTCATTAGATTGAAGCATATTCGGCCTGCATGGAAAACAAGCCAAGCCTTTTAAACCCTACGCACTTAAAAAATTATGTTGTGCTTCTACAGTCGAACCCCTTTATAAGAGGCATGCTTTAGGCAGCAATTCTAGCCTTTTATATGAGATCTATCTTATAAGCAAGGTACCTTGTATGCCTTTTCTTGTCAGCCCGTTTTTTACTATGAGCACACTAATGTCTCTTATATCAGTGCCTCTTAGAAAAAGATTCAACTGTTTCAATAAGTACTGCACACATGGTAAAATCGTGACGCAATTATAAAACACACCACAGCATGGCACTATGGATTGACTTTGCCATCCGAAATTGACGGGCACCCAGATCTATGTAACACAGGCATTTCTTCATTTTATAATCATCAAAATTCGGCACTGTGCATGAATTGAAACTTCCAAACTTGAATATAGCAGTGGAAAGTCATCACCATTGGGCTGCCGGAAGATATGCTGGGTGACTCCCTGTGTTGTAGGTGTTGAATGACACATGACAACAGCCGAGACTAGTTGCCATAGCCATAGAGTTTCCTATAAGTATACTAGAGGAAACACTGGCACTAGTGTCTATGGGAGCTGCAACGCATGATGCTTCAGTGAGAATGGAAATTATGGGTAGTTCATGGATTTGCCTGATCTTCATTCTTTCGGCTCTGATTGGCTTCGCGTGGCTTGAAAGTTGCTTTGTAATGAAACGAAAAGCCGCAAATGTACAGCAGTTGCACTTCACCACATTAACCTGCTAGGCTCACCGAGTCAAATCGGCTCACGAAATTCAAAATGGTTTATTATTTTATTTGAAACAAAACAAAAACACTGCAATAAACAAAAGCCACAAGTGTGTTCAAAGCCCGCAAGCACGAAGACTAAGCAAATCTATATAAGTACTACACATCGTTCCCATGGTCACTGAACAATCGCAGCGCCAGAGTCACCTCTAGTTAATTTGACAGATCCCTATGGTCATAGCAAGATGGCAAGTTGGGCAAGTTGAATTACGTTCACAGTTGAAAATTTTGTTGATGTGCACCAAAAAGACAGCTTCTTCTGTTTGTCTCTCCTCTTCAGTGCACTTCGCCAAAAATTTTCAACTATGGTCGCCGCCAAGATTATTAGGATCATATGCCATAATGGGTTCACTATGGATAGCTCACCCGTTGTTGCTAACCAAGGAGTCCTTTCCACTTGAAGTGTCAGAGCTGCTGCTCAATGAAGTCACCGAGACAATCTTTGGCAGCAGGACCGGAAGCTCGAACGGCCCTTTTATATAGACGGTTAGGGAATCCTGCATGGCAGCATGCTTATGTAACATATACCTTCTATATCACAGTGATTGTAGATGATGATTAACAGCAATGATAAACTTACGTAGGCAGCAATTAAGATTAAATAGATGAAGGCACTTAAGAGGACACAAAATACAAAAAAATAGAGCTTAACCTTAACAGACGCTGCTTACGAAAAACTGCCTGCAAGGGTGTCACACTGATGCAAGATTGCTTGAAGGCACTGAATATTGCGAAAAACTATCATAATATGCAGTTCAATGTGTACTGTAGCAATTCATCCCAATTTAATTGTAATCAAGCACATGTTTATTCTGAACTCTTTCATGCTATGCTTTTGTGTAGTTAGAATGGAGTCCAGACTAGAAATATCATGCAGTTTCGTTTTCGGATGAATTCATTTTGAGCAAAGAAAAAAATTTATAGTTTCGGCGTGGCTCGTGGGATGCGGCAGGTTGAATTACCAGTCGAACTCAACACCGCCTGCCACAGAGTGACCATATACAACAGTACAACGCAAAAAAAAAAGTTTTAGAAGACATAATTGTCAGGGAGGAGGTCCAACTCGCCCAAAACCTCAATAGCCCCCCCCCCCCCACCTCGTCAATTCATATAAAGGGGGGTGTTTGTTCTACCAAAAAAAATACTAAAAAAGGCGTCTTTCAAGGTCTTTAACGAGAGCCCCCTCCCCCTGAAAAAATTCCTCGCTATGGGTCTGCTTTAGCCACTAGCTGACAAAACTCGAAAAACAAGTGGTGCATACAATTATACACAAAATGCCTCAAAGGTTATATAATACTGAGTGAGGGCAACGGGTCAATTATAGTATTACTCTTCAAGTTAGATCAGGTTAGGTTCAGAGTCAAGACTGTCTTTAAGGGCTGTCGCCTCTCGTTTGACTGACCTGTCAGCACCCCAATTTCAGCCCTGGCTACCATGGTATAAACTTTCACTTATCTAGCAGCAACACTGGAAAAGTGAGACTTTGGGCATGGCATGTGCTTTACGTTCTGTGATACCAGACAGTTTGCTCACTTTGTTTTTGTGCAACAGTGACATTTCCCTCAAAGTACAAAATTCTCTCAATTGCACACTCCCATTACTTTTTGGCCAGCTCAAACACACACGCGTGAAAGCGCCCACAGAAATTCTTGACAAGAAGGCGGTGGAAACAGCACATCGGGGCAAGCAACTATTACTGGCGATATTGCTGCTTGAGAGGTTTCCATATTGGAATTAACACTCCACTGTGAAAGAGGCTAATACAAATAGGTAAACTGTCTTGAAAGCTTTCAGCAAACAATGTACAAAGAGCCGAGAAGCAGACTTGTACAGCCCTTATGAGGGAAAACACAGATATCGATCATTCCGAGAAAAACATCCTAGTCGTTTCAGAGACCATATGAAATTCATTGGAAAAAAAAAGAAACACTGAAAACCGTGAATTTCATAAATACTGTTACGTGAAGGTACACACGAAACTAGGCGCTTGAAGATATATTTACACAGCGCCAACGCGCAAGCCAAGATGGAGAAGGAGTGCTGTGCTCTACACCAAAATCACGTCGTCTTTCTCCACGCCTATCTAACCGCTTTTATGGGACATTGTCTCATAACAATATCTCAGAAAAAAAGAAATATTTGGTTATGTGGATGCCTTTCAAATCTAGCAGAATACCATGTAAGTATTTCTTGTGATAAAATTTATTTTGAGAGTACCGTTTTTTATTTACATACCAAATTTAGTTTACATTTTAGGTAACATTACTCGTGTAAAGTGCTCGAAGCTCAATGATATTGCTGGAATTTTTATGCCACATAAGTCCCCACAAATTTCACCAAAACTTTTTATGTTTGCACTTTTGCATTGTGACACTGAGCCATTTATAAATATTTGAGTAATGAATACTTATTCTTAAGAAACTGAAATTTCTAAACTTGAAAGAAAAAATACCACAAATTTGAGAAATTCATTATCTGAGTCTACCTTGAGACTCAATTTACACAATGTGGATCAGCTGATTACCTCAAACAAAGGAAAATGAATAGTTCTTCTCATATCTCAAGTTTTAGGATTACCATTTTTTATTCTCAATTAATGACTATCTTCCAATTCGCTCACTCATAAGGTTCCTCGCTGAAGTTCCCAATCGCCCTTTCAGGATGTGATCTGTCTAGGTTTATTTTTTTTTAAAGTGCAGAGCCGTTTTGTGGCCTGGCTTGTTGATAGATACATCTCATGTGGCGTGATCACACTCTCAATAAAGTGCTCAATAATGTGCTCTATACAGGCCATAGCAATGCTAGCCAATCATAGAGTTTCATACAATAATACCTAGAGAGGAATCTGGTGCTGTGATCGTATACCCCCATGTTTTTTTCATAATCGCTTCTTGCGAAAACTCGTTCAAAATGACTGTAAAACGATGATGAAACCAAGTAAAGTCACGGTCGCACTTCTCTGGCTCGACTTCACAACAAAACGAGAAGTGTATTGGGGCAGACCACTTGGACAGATGCACATGGCATCGAAGCAGATCATTTGTTGAGTGTTTCTCACTCAATATTATACTGTTATTTCTATAAATCAATAATGCGTACTTTCGAGGGAAAAACAAGATTTTTTGTTTTCAAGTATCGTGAAAAATTTTTATTATATCTTGATGCCAAACCTGGAGCGCAATCGCAGAGCAATGCTTGGTGCTTGAATTCGTCCAGGTTTCATTACGACCTCATGGTAGAAAACTTTTAGCAATAAAGTATACGTAAAAAAGATGCAGCAAGTTTAAATTAAATATAGTTTCATATCACTTAGTTTTACACTCGGCAAACAAGAGTCACGAATCTCAAGAACGTGATCCATCCAAAACAGATTCGAAGCCAGTACATCCCATATTTCCCACGGGGGTACAAGTGCCACTGAAAGAGCTGGCGTAGACACCAGCGCCATATTCCCCTCTAGGTATTATTGTATGAAACTCTGTGCTATGAATGCTCAAAAGTGGGTTAAAATTAACAACCTCTGAAATCATGTACCAAATGGAAATAACCAAGAAGTGTAATAAATAACCGAGAATCGCTAAAGAGGTTTTGGAAATACGCAACTGACTACGGAGACGCTGAAAAGAGGACACCACTGCCCCGATGAGTGGGCAAATACCCTTCCCCTGGCGTTTTAGAGAGCTGTGTTGCTACATCTGATTAGTGAAACAGCCTGACAGAACTCGCTCCAAATGACACGTAACTCAACATTAAACTGGAAGTCGATACAGAACGGCAAAAGATAGCACGAATATCCCAACGCTCCATTTACTAAAGCGACAATGTCGCCAATGTTTGTGCTAAACCCCAGCATGAGTAGAAACTCGTCAGGGAGATTCATAAACTTGAGTGCCACATGTGTGCCACTTTTTGTTGCGCTTTATCCACTTACAGCTTGTTACGGCAGTTCAAATACAGGTCATCTGCATCGAGATATGCCACACTTCATCCATGAGACATAGAAACGCAGTGTGGGCAAAGCACAAAGGGAAGTTCATTGCGGCTAACAGCGCAAAAACCTAGACTAGATGTGGAAAGGGCACAGCGCTGACACAGTGTATCCACTTCTAATCTATGTCTGCATTTTCCTGCTGCTGGCCACAATGAATCTGCACCAACTTGTCCAGTTTTCTATCATGCAAGAGAAGGGTCATTCGCTCAACCGGCCAAGTGGTGGCAGCATCTCTTGAGCGAGGCCAGAGTCAGAACTATGTTTCCGAAAAGCGATTTTAGGTTAATAATTGCAAGAAATTGGTTATTTCTGCCAGATATATTATCTTACACTGTGTTTGTTCATTTTAACATAGTTTCGAGCATTGCTAGCCTTGTTATGTCTAGTATTGAGCACTTCACTGAAAATATGATCGCACCACATCAGATGTATAGATTGACAAGCCGGACACACTTGATGAAATTGCAGGGCAAAATTACACAAGGACAGTTCAAGCTCTGTGGATGACAAGTCTGCTTGTGAAACGTCGGATCGACACAACTCCTGTTTACGGATATATATATATATATATTTTTTTTCCATCACAAGCTTCCCTCTCCTTCCTGCCATTTAGAAGAATGGACAGGCACACGACGGGACTTGTCCTTTACATGCATACAGCTTTTCTTGGCAATGAAGTGAAGGCTACAGAGCTAAATCGTGTGTATCCTACCGCTAATTAACGCAGTCCCAGAACTGAATCCCTCTTGTGTGCAAGATATGAGAAATATGCCTTGTATCTGCCTGTTGTGTTATCTTGAGCTGATTTTTTTTTCTTAGAGAAGTCGTGAACCAATCATCTGAAGAAAACATATTGCTGGAAAACTACTTAACTGAAAAGCAAACATTATGCGGCATAATATCCCACCAATGATATTTATGGTTTGGCTGCCTTATCAAGCATCAAATGATGATATGTTGGGTTTAATGTCCCAAAACAACGCAAGCATTAAATGTCACTAACACGCAACTAAAGAATGAAAACTGCAGGTTGATCTTTACTTACAGTGGCTCGAGGTGGTGGACTGCTTTGCTCGACCTTGATGTCAACACCCGAAAAACTCTGAAAACAAATTTTAAATAATCCCTATGAGCAGAGTTGAAAATTGGAAAAATATATATTTTTTAATTCCCATGTGATCATATGCATTTGCCCAGGACGACTCAAAGGTTAAAAGCATTTTCTTTCTTTTTTTCTCAATCGTACTGACCACCCTCTTCTTTTTTAAGCTTTCTACATGCAACATGGCTTTGCAATGTGTCCCGGATCCGAGACATTGATATCTTTCTTCGCCTCGTGTGGTTATGCAGCGTCCAGGATTGGTCGACCTTTGAGCAAGCGACGACGTCACATGACGTCGTCGCATGACGACGCCGTAAACACATGACGACGTCGTAGTCACATGACGACGTCGTAAATCTTGACCCGTGACGTTATCAAAGAGTGCTTTTCGCGTCACTCGCGCTGACGTCGACGCTCACGTTTTGATAAATACGATATCTAAGGCATTCAACTTATTACAGATAGGCAAGAGCCTCATTTTATGTGGAAGTGTCAATGTGAACCAGCTGAAGTCCTTAATGTAAGAAGCCTGAAAGGATTCTGATCGCTAGTAAGTCTGCTGTTTTATCAACCCATAAATATCATTGACGTGATAACAGGGAATTAAAACAGAAAAACATGCGCGATCACTTACAGAATGTACTATGGTTGGCGGGCTGCTTGGTTCCATCTTAATATGCTTGCCTTAGGTTTCATAATTCCGGTTGAGAATGAGCCCACGCGCGTGCTGCGAAATCAGAAAGAAGAAGAACGCTATGAAGTGTGGTATTTTTTTTATTTTTTTAAGACCAAGCTGCTGGTGTTTTTATCTTAGCGTTTTTTGACGTCGTGAAAATATATACATTGAATAACATCTACTAGCTAAACTGTCGTCTGCTAGAACTCAGAGGGATTCTAGTAATTGCTAGTAAACAGTTACACCGTCGGTCTAGAGTTACTGTATATTGCTTTCTATCGGTAGCATGTACAGTATCTCTACGTCGGTCTGTCCTACCTATCAACCCACAAGTGTCACGGCATCGCTAACGTGAACAAGCGGCGAAAAAAAAAAAAAGGGGCGAGCTAGTTAGTACAGGGCCGTCAAAAGTTCCCAGGCCACTATCCCATGTATTCCTATGGCATCGTGGCCTAGGAATTTTCAACGTCCCCTCTACTTGTAAGGAGGCATTGTTGTAACCTTTAGCGATCACGTTCGCTAGTTTCGCGTTATTGCTAGCATGAAACTGTCGAATCAAAACAGTGCATGTTGCTTACACGAATGGTGCCTGCGGGCATTGTCGGAGGGGTGTCAACACGGAGGCTTCCAAGCTCTGGCTTGATGTCGGCACTCATTGTACAAATAAGACCGCTTTTATACTTCTAAGTTGAGTTGAAAGTGAACCGCGTAATTTGAAGCACGCGCGGATGCCGAAGAAAGAGCCTCGATCGAGTTCAGCGGTGCTAATATCTTCATGTTCGTGACGCTGTAGCTGAGCAAATACAAGGTGAAAACAAATACACGGCGCTTGAATCACAGAACACCTATGCACTACGATCGATTGAATGCGCTGAACAGCCCTTCCATCGAGCGGACGCTGGGTACGGCACTTATTTTTATAACTTTCACGCGGGTCGGAGTCGGCCAATGCGGATTCTTCCCTAAAAGCAGTAGCATCCTCTGTCGGGAAGTTACGCAATCAATATTGATTTTTTTTTTTTTACAGTTACCGAGATGGTGCGCAGTTGATGCGCAATCTCGAAGGCCATAAATATTTGATGGCCCATGTGCAAGGAGGTTTTATAGAACCTCTGGAGTAACAGTCCCGGCCGCCGCCAACGGGAGCAAGTGAAGCCGCCAGCGGCCATATTGCTAGAGGAAAAATAGAGCGGAACGCAATGGAATACGCGCGTTGCGCGCGTCGGTTTGCAATTCCACGATAAAAAAAAAAAAATGAGATGGAAACCACTTTTACGTTAAACCAACGAATAAATGCCTCTTCTTGTTTATGAAACAAATTATTTCATGCAGCTGCACGCTCTCAGATCAATTTGTTGTCGAGGGATGCTTCGCATATCGAGCTTGCTGGCGCACTATTGCGGTACAAAAAGGTTGTAGTATATATTGGGTGTTTTAAGAAATGTGCCTGCAGATACTCAAGATCAAGGGGAACGCGATACTTACTCGCTTCTTTCATATATGTGCTTATGTGTGTGTCGGCAGATTACCAGAGAATATATATAAGGAAGTTGAAATATTTAAAGCTAAAGTTAGAAAAGAGAGGTAATTAAGTAAACTGGAAGTCACCAGTAATTTTTCTAGAGTTATCGAATTCTAACCAATTTACAGGCGGAACCAAAACCGAAGCACCGATGTCGCGTGCAATTGACAAACTCCAGGAGACGTACCCCAATTGAACCGTTTATAAGAACGATTGTAATGGCGTTAGTTATGCATAATATTTATCAACTTCCGTTGGGGACGTGTGTTGTCATGGTGAGCGCAACCTTCAGAGCCTAGATACGAGGTAGCTCGATGTTTGATATAACGCCATGGCACTACTCGATCATTTTGGCAACTTCGTCTATCGGTGTTTTGGTTAGGTTTCGTCGCAGGATAGAATAGATTTTAAATGTGTCTCATCTTGTTTTAGACGCCATTGCTTATTTTTGTCACTAGATTCCATTGAATCTACGTCAAGGAGGTAGAAACTAACAAGTTTCTGCAGATGCGCTCGGAAAGCAGGAAAAATCGAAGGTGCACTGCCAATCCGCAGTCTGGTTGTCTGCCCCGTTCTGTCGAAGCAGCCTTCTTCGAAGTGAATAGAACATAGGTGGTCACCGTCCGTAGCCCTCCAGCTATTCCTTCGAACAGCACGTTCTCAAGCATAACGCAGCGCACTGTCTTTCGGAAACTTGTAACAAGGATAATCACGTACGACATGGAACTCTTCTCTACATTTGCGAATACCTCGATAAGCATGCACCAAATTCGATATTCACTCGCCAAAAAAATATGCATACACGCCGTCAGTCTTGCCTTGTAAGACAACACCAGAAAACTTGGAATTAAAAGGGCATTTAGACGCCCTACTCGTTCCAATGTTTAATACGTGCAGCCATAGACTGCAAGTGCTTCGTCCGTAAACTTAAACCTCATGTACAACGTCGAGTCAGCGAGCATTTAAAGCTTCAAGTTACCTTCCATACAGCTATACGCATGTATTACCCATATGCGTACCGTTTGACATTGTTTTTATTTAACAGAATACGTGAAAAAACAGGCGATCGCCAGTGAACGAAGCCAGAATACTAACACGTGAAAAGTGATCCCAGGCGTCTTCTTGATGCGATTTGCGCAGCGATATTCGGCGCACGAAGTCACCATGGCTTTGCAAAATCTTTAACTGATTTACAAAAGCATGTCACAGTCTCCAAAGGCCATTGTGAGGGCGGTGCTACGAAGCGCACTTTGTCGTCTGCTTCCGAGTCTTTCCATTTTCTAATATGGCGGTGACCGGCGTCAATTATCGGGGCGCACCTCCAAGACATGGTATAGAACCTCCTTGCCTTCGTGATTTGGCGCGTTGCCTGACGTGATAAACCCAATGATCGCGCAGATTTTTATGTGCGTCACGATCCTCCACAGTGCATTACCACGGCTATGCCACGGCTGCTGGATCAAAATCTGGCACAATCACGACACCAAAGCCTCATAAAAAGATGTAGAAGAGGCGTTGCTTTGATGACATGATCTGTAGACACGATCATCACGTCGAACACGATTAATGGGGTTGGGCATAGAGTTTCATACAATTATTATTGTATGAACCTCTACGGGGTTGGGGATTACTCCGTGGATTGGGATTGAAAGGAGTTGTTGGAGCTCACTAGCGCCAGATTTCCCTCTTAGTATGAATGTGAGAAACTCTACGAGATCTGCTTATGGCGTCTTTTTTTGTTGAATGTAGAAATTTTTTATGAGGCTCTGGTAATGTGACATTTCGTGTCCTGGTTAAAGGCATTACATTGACCACTCTCTTTAACTAGAAAGGCCGTAAAAAATGATTTTTGGCTATTATATGTTTTTTTATTTAGATAGTCTTAGTGTTCAGTTTTGTAATGCGAGATTTTTATAGCCCGAATATTGCAGAAAATTAAGCTATGTATCGTAAGAGCATATTATGAGCTCCCTGGGTGATTGCTGCTCCGTGAAACAAAAATAAACTTTGTCTTGTAGAGCACATAAACACGTGTCAAGATTACACTGACTGCGTGCCTTCACCGAGCAATGTCAATGTAAAATATTCAGGTATCTTATAGAAGAACAGAACGAAATAAGACTGAAGATTTGGTAAGGTGGTAGGGGTTCAATATTCCGCAAACGGTGTGATGAAGGAGTCTGCCCGGGTGTTTTAGTCTCTCCATGCCTTTACATGAACGCGTGTATCTATAGATTTGGTCACACGTGGAGCTGATCGAAAGTACAGAGGAAGGGCGTAGCTATCAACCAGTAATAGGGCGCCCATTTACATCTTCTCAAAATGTTGCAAAAATGATTGCAGATGAGGAAAATTAAGAATAGATCATCAGCTGTCAAGCTGAAAGAAAGAGAAAGGCGTGACGGACTTGCGGTTGACCGAAGATTATACCCGTGACACACGGGCAAAAAGTAAAGTACTTTGAAGTAAACCCCTTTTGTCGCCTAAGGGGACCATTTGCAGAAAGGAGTGGCGCTCATGACACACGGCACCGGACTACTGCTTTAGGCAGTGCCTCAGAAGAACGCTGCAGAAAAAATGGCGCTGTTTGAGGAAGGAGCAAGATTAGAAATATTAAAAAGAATCTGCGCATGTACATCAGATTCAGTGACGCCGGAGCATAAAACCGTATTTTTTTATTGTCTGGTGGCTTATAATGCGCATACCTGTAATTTTCTTTCGCTTTTTTGCGTTTTTAGCAGCAACTTGAGTTCGTCTGGCAACTATGAACAGTCGGTGTTTTGCTGTTTTTGTTTTTTGTCGTGCTGTTTACATGGCTGCGTCCAGCTGGGTCAGTGACGGCGTGCCTCGTTTCATCGTGGTCTTGCGATGTCTCAGTGCAGAGACAGAGATAAAGCGACAGTTGAGGTGGGCCTGACTCTTGTCGCCCTCGGCTCCATCGAAGATGAGCTAAACGCTGCGAAGGCAAGAGTGATGAGCCTCAAACAAAGACTCGTCATGAACAGCTTCATTTTGACTGCTTCCGCACTGTCCCCCCGAGCCATCAACCGCGAAAGGTGGGCCTATGTGCGCAACGAACGCTGGTTCGAAGACACATTGCCGTTATTAGGTTACGGCCACTTTAAGCAGTGTTTTCGAGTGAGCCCAGCCACCTTCCGTTTCATTGTGGACAGCCTACGCCCTTCGCTAGAGAGGGTCACAACTAATATGCGCGAGTGCATTGCGGTTGAAAAGGTGGTGGCCATCGGCTTATTCAAACTGTGCTCCGTGGCAGAGGACCGAGTCGTGGCCAGTGTCTTCGGTGTCGGGCGATCGACGGTGAACGGCATTTACAAGGAGTTTTGCGAAGCCATCGTTTCTGTCTTGGAAAGCGACTGGATCAAGATGCTGAGTCTATCTGAGATGGCCGAACACATTCGGGAATTCATGGCCGTCAGTGACTTTCCCCAAGCTGTAGGAGCCCTCGACGGCTGCCACTTCCCAGTTTCGCCGCCACAAGAACATGCCACTGATTACTATAACTACAAGGGGTGGTAAGTTGATTTGGCTACTTTGGTAATTAACGTTCGCGTGTGAGGCATCGCACCTAAATATTCGAGAAATCCGCATGTGAACATGTGAAACATCCGCATGTGAACCATTCCTTGTGTGCGAATTATAAGTTACAAGCTACCTATATGACTCAAAAATTGGTCTCCAGCAACGTCAGTTTCTCCCTAGAATGTGCAGCCGCGCATGTTTCTTGCAATTACAGGGATCCAATGAAGAAATCCTCGCTACAAGATTTCGAGAAAACAACAAAGTCTACTCAGAAAAAAAAAAGTCTGCTCAGAAAAATAACTTACTTGTGCACGCAAGTAAGTGTCGTCAAACGAGAAGCTTGTTGCAAATCTCATTTGAGACCTTGAAGCCGCTGAAAAACTTTCTCGTAATTAGAAACATCAAATAGGAATTGGCAATAGTACCTTGCAAAACTTTCTCATAATTAGAAACATCAAATAGAAATTGGCAATAGTACCTTGCAAAAGCCGTAAAATGCTGCGAAGCGTTATAGTAACCAAGACGAGCATAAGTTGTGATCGAGATAGTTTACCCGATGTATGTACTGCTATCTAGGCGTATGCGTGTATACGACTTCCACCTCTGAATGGTTTAAGCTAACGTGCCCATTTTTTCACCCTTGTGCCTTAGCAATCTGTTCATTATTTGTTCTCACCACATTGATATATTTATGTCAATATCGCTAGCATTTTTTAAACCAGAGAAGTGTTCTTACCGACTTTGACTTGTGTTAATGACTCTTGTGTTAATTTTTACAGGTACAGCATTATTCTCCTGGCGCTTGTAGACCACAAGTACCGTTTCAGGTTGGTGCCCCTGGAAGACGCCATGACTCTCATGTGTATCAAATGTCGAGCCTCTCCGGCATGGTTGAGGGACCACTTTTCAAGGCTCCAGTTGTTACAATAGGAGGCGTTGCCGTGCCACCTCTGGTGCTCTGTGACCAGGCCTTCCCACTTACACCTAACCTCATCAAGCCATTTGGACACAACACCCCACTTAGTGCAGAGCAGAAAAATTTCAATTACCACATCAGCAGAGTGAGACGTGTGGTAGAAAACGCCTTTGGAAGGCTTAAGGCAAGATTTCGCTTCACATCGAAGAGAATGGAATGCGACATTGCAAATGCTCGCCTCGTGATTCGCGCATGCTGCGTGCTCAACATTTGCGAGCATTTCAGCGATGCTGTTCAGCTTCACTGGCTCCAGGAAGTGAAGCAGTCCGACTCCCAACTGCCCCAACCAGAACGTGGCAGCGATTCACAGATTGGGAATGCAGTCAGTGTGCGTTCTGCACTTGTGGACCACTTCAGCCAGAGGATGCAGACCCAGGCAGCCCGCTCCTAGAATCTTTTTGCGCTGGAATTTGTAAATAAAAAGAGTGACAGTTTTTCTGCCTCATTTTTTATTGATGAAATCAACGAGGGCATTTACAAGCTTTTCTTGAAGCTGGAGGTGTTTAGATCTCAGCTTGCTGAGCTCGCTCCAGCTGCTCTCGTAGCATTTTTTGTTCAGCCAGCATAGCCTCTTGGAATTCACGCGCTGCGCTCAGTGGCCGCCGTCGCTTCCTTGCTGCCCGTGCTGCCGTACTTGTTGCAGGGCTCGGAGTCGACTGCGTGGTGGGTGCAGGTGGTGGCGTCTGTTCATTTGGTGTTCCTGGCACTGGCGTGCTGTTAGTTTCAGTAGCCTCGGAACTGACTCCGCTCTCCATTTCGTAGATCAGCTGCGAAGATTTAAGAGAAAACAGCTACAAAGATCATACAAAAAAAGAAAATTGATCTGAGAGGCAGCACACCACAATCGTAACTCTTGATAATTACATTGATGAAATGAACAGCACAATTGAGGATAAACTTTCATGATGCTGGTCAACATTGACCGATGCTGCATATTCAGGCTGAGGTCATACAAATGGTATGTAGGCTAGTTTAGAATATCATTAGCAGAATTATGCGACTTGCAGCGCATGTAACCAAATGATCTGGAAGCATTGGCACATATGCATTCAATGTGAGTGGATCACGAAACGGTAAAAGTTAGGTAAACACCAAGATATTTTTATCATGTATCATGTTTATATTTGTGTTGTTTATATGGTACAAAAAGGTAGATGCAGTACGTTAGCGGCTAAAACAGACAATTTTACATTCAAAAACGTTAAGCTTCATTAGACAATTACACACCAAACAGAAACAAGTTCTAGATGTCGGTGGAGGACTTGGTGATCATCGTTAGCCTTATAGAACGATAGAGAATGCAGTCACATGCGAAAATGTTCATGTGTGAGTAAATATTGCTCGGTAAGACATTAATGTACATAAGCCATGATACATATTGTATACTTTCAGGTAAATAGAAAACTTCTGCGAGTCCAATTAGTTCAAAACATCAGCTTATACAATAATACCGGTGTAAGTGCACTAGTACTTGTATTGATTGCAAGGAAAGTGCACAATGGTGATTTGTTCGTTACACACCTTCTCAACAGTGTCGCTACTGGTGTCGCAGCAGCTTTCCTCCATGAGGGACAGATCATTTATTGGCAGGCAGCCAATGAACCTCTTCAGTTCTTTATAGTATGGCCACGTTGGTGGTGGGAAGCCTGTCGTGAGCTCTCGCTCAATTTTTCTAAGAAAAAAAGATCACAGTCGCTTTCAGTTATCAAGCAACATAGGAAGGCCCCATCATATTATGACCAGCACAGAAATATATAAATACAACCTATGCAAACTTTTCATAATTTTGTTGCTACCTTCGCTTACAGGTGATACAATACAGCTGGCACCTAGCAACATGCTTCGTACACAACTCAGGGCACCGATCTTGAAAATTCGGCCTGAGCGGTACAATGTTTGGTTACTTCTCAAGCATAAACACTCATGTGACTCGAGGCGGGTAAAGGCTGGAACCCAGTTTCCGGCGCAGAAAGACACTTGTACCGCTTCTTACGAAGTGAACACGTTTAAATAACATATTTATATGGTTTTTTTTTTCAAAAAAAGAGCGCAGAGACGCGCCTTCACATGACAAGAGTGTACCAGCAAAGGTCAGAGCATAGCCTCCTCTATAACTTTGTGCCCGAGCGGTCGGTCCCTCAGCGCCGTCCCCCGAGCTATTATGGGATGCGAGCGCTCCTGGCGGAGCGCCGAGGCGCAAAACGAGAGAATGGATGGCAGCTATGGAGAAAAAACCGGGTTTGAGTAACTACCGAAATGGCAAAAATGAAATAAGGAGGGAGGCATTTTACGATAATTCAAGGGGAAGCGCTTTACTGTTTGAAGCGAGATCGGGTTGCCTTAGAACGCGTAGTTATAAAGCAAGATTCAGTAAAGAAGAAGAACAATGCACATGCTGCGGGAAAGATAAGGAAACGGCGGAGCATGTTCTGATTGAATGTGGAGATATCCACCCGGCTAAGAATTTTCTGACCAAGGAAACGTACGAGGGCTTGCTGATAACAACCATCTCAAACGTGGAGTGCGTTCGGTACCTTCTCACGGCCACACGCTTCCGTTTCGTTCTGACTAGGAAGATGTCCTCTGACCCAATAGAGGCCTTCTTTGGGTGGTTGAGGAAATCTGCAGGCTCGAACGACCAGACAGACGTGAGGGCAGTTTTGTCTGGGATTGAGAAAGCACTGAAGACTGGCATAGCCTGCACGTCAAGCAGCAGCAACGTGATTACTGCAGACAGCAGCAGCTGCTCCACATCAGCACTCCTACAGCGATCGGCAAGAGCAGCGCAGAATGACGGTGAAGCATTTCCAGCAGAATCAACCACGATCCTCGAGGAGAGCCTCGACAGGGGGAAGACGTTGCTCCCAACGCCAGATGTTGCTGCACTAGCAATGGTTGGTGGCTATATTGCAAGAACAGTCCACGAAACCATTTCCTGTGATGAATGCTTCACTTTGGTGACTAAACCAAACACCTCTGCGCCATCGGATGCATTAATTAGGCACCAGGACAGAGGTGGACTCCTGTATCCGTCAACTGAGCTCGTAATGGTTCTAAATTCTCTAAAGAATTACGCGGAAGTTTTCCTCGCAAGAGCGAGAAAGATGAATCAGCCACTGAAGGCTGCCGTTGACAACGCCGCGCAAATACTACAGAAACGTGACAAACTCAAGTGCTCGACCCCGGGACATCATAAAAAACTTTTGGAGGTTGTGCTCGTGAAGTTTCTCCGCCCACTTTTTCTGAACTTCGCGACGAGTGTGACTGACAAACACGACTTGGCAAAAGATTTTCATGTCAAACCATTGTCTCGAAAAGTGCTCAAGCTTTGAGCGCGAAATCAAATAACAAAGCTCACATTGCATTCTGCATACAGTGCTTGTGTTAAAAATTTGGTGTGTGCGCACTTCCTAACGTATACGCATAATCAAATGCAATGTAGACGGTTTCTAGACCGTCATAAACGCAAGCGTGCATAGGCCGCGTCGTCTGCTGTTATTATGGGATCGGTGCGGCATCTGGCGGCGAGCGCCAAAACTATAAGGGACGGATGGCGCGTATGTATTTAGCGCTAATGCGCGGGCACAAAAAAATATAGGAGGCTATGGTCAGAGACAGCCGAGCGCACACCCGACGCGCTTATCACCAAGGGTTTTTGTGGGACGCGGACCGCGCATGGTAGGGACGCCATTATCTGTTGCCGCGCACTCGCAGGTACCGTGGAGTCCCGCGTTCCTCGATATGCGAGGTGCCCATGCATGTCGGGTTTTACAGGCCCGATCTTAACACACACTAAACAAGCAAGCAGGACGCGCGCGACAACGCGTAGCGTGAGTGACCGTCTTACCTGAATGTCTGTGTCAAGTTGTCAATTTTACTGTGAACTTGCGCCCGTGTACGGGGAATACCGGCGTCGGTGAGGCTCTCGGCAATCGCCTGGTACACTCCACCGTTGTGCTTTTGCCCTCGCAAGGCGTCCAAATGGTCCTCCCATAGCTTTATCAGCGCCCAGGTCTCCTTTTCAGTCCACTGGACGCGCGGCTTTTTCTTCACCGACTGAGCCGACTCCATTGTACAAAATACTACGTCCCCGACACCAACGTTTTTAGAAAAACGTTGCCCGACACAGCAACTGCCACTGCCAACCCTAACATGATTGCGCTAGTGACGTAATGCAGGTGTTTGAGAGTATGGACAGACTATAAGTCTTCACTTTTCAACAAATTGAACTGCTGTTGAAAATGAAAACATTTTTTCAGCGCAAAAAAAAATACTGACAGGGCACCGCTGTGTTGCGACACGTTTTCTTCTATTGATAAATTAGGTACACTGTATGCGAGAGTACTTCCTTCCTGCCAGAAAAGTAGATGCGGGATCTGCTTTTGCGAAAAGGATCTTTGCCGGAGGATCTCAAGTTGCTGCTAAAAACGCAAAAAAGCGAAAGAAAATTACAGGTATGCGCATTATAAGCCACCAGACAATAAAAAAATACGGTTTTATGCTCCGGCGTCTCTGAATGTGATGTACATGCGCAGATTCTTTTTAATATTTCTAATCTTGCTTCTTCCACAAACAGCGCCATTTTTTCTGCAGCGTTCTTCTGAGGCACTGCCTAAAGCAGTAGTCCGGTGCCGTGTGTCATGAGCGCCACTCCTTTCTGCAAATGGTCCCCTTAGGCGACAAAAGGGGTTTACTTCAAAGTACTTTACTTTTGCCCGTGTGTCTATGTCTTCAGTGCGTGTGCAAAGTGAATTCGACATGCAGATCCGTCTTGTTGGCAACGGGTGCCATTCGCAAGCACTTCATATGCTACTCCAGAGAACGTGTAGAAAAAAAAAAAAAAAACCTTATGAAATGGTTAATGATGATTTTTACTTTGAAGAAAGTTCAGAAGAACTTGGATACAAAGCTGACTATCTTAATACTTGTTTAGGAGTCAATTAGGCTGAATAATGACATTAAAACTATAATGTAGAATTTTTCTTGCAATTTAGGGATTTCTTGAGAGTCAATCTAGGGAAAACACTTCTATGGTTTGGCATTACTCTCCGTAAGGCACGTTCTCCCATGTTCACTCTCAAAAAGATTGCGACTGTACGGGTAGGGTGGCTAGTATGGAGCACCGCTCGGATAGAGCTACGTAGGCGTCGGAGATCGCGGGCGACGAAACCGTTCAGCACAGAATTCAATGAGCGAGTCCCCCAAGGACTCGTCAGTGACGTCCTTTGAATTGTTCAGTCAGCCGTATTCTACTTCTCACTGCACGCGCCGCAAAGTGAGCCTATTCCTTCACCCTCAACTTCACACGAGAAAAAAGCTATGTTTAGCAAAGAAAAAGAATAAAGATCGTGAAAATAGTAAAAGTACATGCGCATGGGCCATGGCGTGTAT